CTTCCTTCCCTACACTTGAAATGTTTAATGAGGAACCCAAGATTCCTCCAATGAAGGTCTTTTACCAACTTCTTAAATTCCTACAGACACATATATAATGAGTCAATATATTTAGAAGAACTGCTCCTTGAGGGGATTTTTTTTTTGCAGTATGCGGGCCTCTCACTGTTGTGGCCTCTCCCGTTGCAGAGCACAGGCCCCGGATGCACAGGCTCAGCGGCCATGGCTCACGGGCCCAGCCGCTCCACGGCATGTGGGATCTTCCTGGACCAGGGCACGAACCCATGTCCCCTGCATCGGCAGGCGGACTCTCAACCACTGTGCCACCAGAGGGAAGCCCGAAGGCATATTTTTAATCACTAATATTTATCTTATTTTATTCATTAAATCTGATCTTCTAATGGATATTTTCTTGATCATTAAACTACATATACAAGGTAGCCCTGAATAATCCTTCTAAAGTCAGTGTAATTTTAAAATTTTTAAACGTAGTGTAAAAGTATACTCAACTCAGGTTCCTTACCTGTACCAAACAACACAAAAACTAAATGAGTGTCTAATTTCTTAATTATCTCAAGATGGGGGCTTCCCTGGAGGCGCAGTGGTTAAGAATCTGCCTGCCTATGCAGGGGACACGGGTTCAAGCCCTGGTCTGGGAAGGCCCACATGCCGCAGAGGAACTAAGCCCGTGCGCCACAACTACTGAGCCTGCGCTCTAGAGCCCGCAAGCCACAACTATTATTAGCCCGAGTGCCACAACTACTGAAGCCCGCGCTCCTAGAGCCTATGCTCCACAACGAGAAGCCACAGCAATGAGAACCCTGCACACCGCAACGAAGTGGCCCCCCTTCGCCACAACTAGAGGAAGCCCGCGTACAGCAACAAAGACCCAATGCAACCAAAAATAAAAAATAGTAAATAAAATAAATTAATTAAAAAAAAAAAAAAACAGGGGCTTCCCTGGTGGCACAGTGGTTGAGAGTCCACCTGCCGATGCAGGGGACATGGGTTTGTGTCCCGGTCCGGGAGGATCCCACATGTCGCAGAGCAGCTGGGCCCGTGAGCCATGGCCGCTGAGCCTGCGCGTCCAGAGCCTGTGCTCCACAACGGGAGAGGCCACAACAGTGAGAGGCCCGCGTACCGCAAAAAAACAAACAAACAAACAAACAAAAAATAAAAAAACAATTGTCCCAAGATGGCATGTAACTAGTACCATTCTAGATGTACAGGAGAGAAGTTAATTCATTCCATGCAATAGATGCCTTGAGGTATGAAGGCCCAGTTCTCCAGTGAGGCCTAGTTAAGAAATGACCAGAACCTTGTACTACTTAAATATTAATGATTAAGATTCACAAATGGAAAGTGTTTGTATTCATACAGTTGCATTCTCTGAGCTGTAAAAAGCAATGTTTCCAGGAAAACACTCTCGAAAAAGAACATTAACATTTTGTCTGGCAGACTGTGTAATTATGCTCTGAAAAGACTTCTAAGAGTCATTCAGAAAAACATGGACAACAAGGACTGGGGTCAGTCATGTCTTGAACTCAGACATTCTACTAAACATTATCTTCATACTACTTAGAAAAGTACATTTATGGATTATATCTTATTTCAAAGTTTCAATTTTCAAAATATTATTAAGAAATCACAGGTATAGTCACATATATAAGAATATTTGGTGATTTATACTTTACCTAAATATATCAAACCAAATCCTCCAGCGCCAATCATCTTGCCCAGCACCCACTGTTTTCCTTCCACATCATCCAGGACCTTGCCTTCTGGAAGTGGAACAGGAAGTCTGTATTTCTCTTTTCTTCTTGGTGGCATCACTTCTGTTGGCAGAAGGGGTGAGATAGTGATTAAAAAACAACAACAAAGAAAACTCCAGTTAAAATACATTTCTCAAAATGTCTTCTATGGGGCACTTTCCCAGGTTCCCAGAAATTAGGATTCTGAAGTTAACTGGGTTTAGGAAAGCCCACACATTTTATTCAAATTGGAGATTCACCAACATTACAATATTGAAATCTAAGAGGCAATGATGTTAAAAAACAAACAAACCTGCTGAA